TTAAAATAGAAGCATTGTCAGTGTGAGCAATAATTGCCATCCATAACCTCTCTCTGTCTCCTGGCAGCTACAGGCTACATGCATTATCATAAGTCGAATCCTTTTCTGTTGAGGAGCGGGTGGTAATTTGTCGGTGTTGTTAAACTTGCTATTTCATCATGATTTGTGATGCAAAATAGATGTTACAGAGTTTGTAAATCAATGCAGCGATGTTATCATTGCTACTCACTTTACTTTCCCCCAATTCTCCAAATATCGTATTCCTACTCTATCAATATGATTTATCTTGACTGCACATGACACTTGAACCTTCTCCTTGTTCCATACCTGCAACATGATCGCAAACACGACGCCCAAGTCATTTGCGATAAACATAATCGACAGGTGAAGAGAGGACACCTTTTGACTTCTCTTGCACTAACAAAGTGTACTAACATTCTGACCAGCCATCTGCAGTTCACAGAAAGGCACATATTCAATAAATCTTATATTGTTAAAAGCCTAAAAATTATATGACTATTTACACTCGTTATCATTTTTTAAAATTAATAACCCGTCACTTTCGAAGATTCAACTTTTAATAGAGAAAACATGATTGTTGACGTCAACTAATCTACCCCCCTCCCTCTTGTCAACAATTGTCAAATATTTCCAAAACCCCTCCCCCATCTATTTTTTTGGTTTTTTTGACATAATTAGTGGAGGCTCTCTAGGCTCTTAACTGTCTACTTACGGACTTACACTTACGTCTTATTGAAACAAACGTTTCTAATGGCGAAGTATGAGGAGGTCATCCTTTAGTAAAAACTAAAAAAAAAAAAAATAAAAAAAAAAAAAAAAAAACATTTTAGTTCCGCGCAATTATTTGCCCCCCCCCCCTCTGTTTTTCCATGAGCTTTCTTATTTCTCACCACCACACTTTAAAAAAAAAAATCATCAATTTATTCAATCATGAAGGTCGCATTAAACACCACTAACATGGAACAACACGTGTTTAGATCGCCGTACTCTACTCTCCTTATTTGAACGCGAATATTATTGACTATCAAATAAAGATATTGAGTTTTAACTATTACTATTTCGCTGAAAACTCCATAACGCTTAAAATTTTTCAGCAAATCAAATTATCAAGTCCAGAAATATTGTTTTAGTACAGGCCTGCACAACTCAAAATGTAAGGCGGGCCGTAATACTTTATGAAAAACTTGTGCGGGCCAAAAGAAAATAGGACAGGGGTTGTGCGGACCAAAATAAATTAGGACAGGGGGGAAAGCTATTAAGAAAATAATAAGAATAAAGAATATTTCGTTACTTCGCGGGCAGCAAAGAGGGTGCTGGGGGGCCACATGCGGCCCGGGGGCCATATATTGTGCAGGCCTGTTTTAATAGATCTACAAATTAATTTAAAAAACTTCTGTCTTATTCTTAAAATCCATGCGACAAGTGGTGTGATGAATGACTTAGAGTTCAATCTCCCCAGTGGGGCCAAGTTTTATTCTTCTGTTGTTTTTTTTAAAAATGAGCATTTATTTATTTCCAATACCCGGCAAAAGTGTGTGTGTGTGGATTTTATTCCCCATAACTCATATTGGAAGCAAATACTCTCCACCTCTCCCCCTTGTGTAAACGCTCCAACTTTTTATTCATACTTGCCTCATGGTGACGCTGCATCCCACTACAACATCAAAATATCTGACCACTACTATGCAACAAACTTATAAAAGAAAGGTAAAAAAAAAAAATTTAATTAAAAAATAATCAAATGTATATAACGGTTTTTCAATTTAATTAATTAAAAAAATTCAATAAAAAAAAATTTAGAAAAAAAAATTTACGCCCCCCCACCCCACTTATTTTTTGCTAATGTCCTTGAATTAGATCTGGGAATGTGGCCATCGTTGTTTTTGTTTTATTTGAGGTCTTATGAGGCAATGCTCAAACTTAACAGAAAAGCTTTTGGTTGAAAAGAGAGGCAAAGTCCCCAGTCCAACATTTGACTTTTGAGCAAAGCGGTTGAACCGACCGATTCAGCTGAAAACAGATTACAGATTTTGATCCGGGGCACTCCGGAACCATCTCTCCACGGTCATCGAATCAACTCCGGAACCATCTCTCCACGGTCATCGAATCAACTCCGGAACCATCTCTCCATGGTCTTCGAATAACTCTGGAACCATCTCTCCACGGTCATCGAATCAACTCCGGAACCATCTCTCCACGGTCTTCGAATAACTCTGGAACCATCTCTCCATGGTCAACGAATCAACTCCGGAACCATCTCTCCACGGTCATCAAATCAACTCCGGAACCATCTCTCCACGGTCATCGAATCAACTCCGGAACCATCTCTCCACAGTCTTCGAATAACTCTGGAACCATCTCTCCACGGTCAACGAATCAACTCCGGAACCATCTCTCCACGGTCATCGAATCAACTCCGGAACCATCTCTCCACGGTCATCGAATCAACTCCGGAACCATCTCTCCACGGTCATCGAATCAACTCCGGAACCATCTCTCCACGGTCATCGAATCAACTCCGGAACCATCTATCCACGGTCATCGAATCAACTCCGGAACCATCTCTCCACGGTCATCAAATCAACTCCGGAACCATCTCTCCACGGTCATCGAATCAACTTCGGAGCATGCCCGTAAAAAAAACAAAAAAACAGGGAAAAACGGAACAACGCAAAACAACTGTTGAACCAGCTGAGTTAGTGCGAAACCGGTGCCGGATTTTTATCTGTCATCTTTGAGAATCTTCAGGTTTCCAACTTGGTACCAGCATCCCAGCCGGTTACGGCGCATGCCAGCTTTAAGCCCACCAACCGGTAACTCCTTCCAGAGACTAATTGCAAGGCAAGAAAACAGGTCCCGAGTAAATCACTTAAACCCATTGAACCGATTAAGGCAGCCGGAAACCGATACCACATTTCTGAGGGGCACTCCGGAGCCGTCCATCCATGGTCATTGGATAAACTCCGGAGCATGCCGGTAAAAAAGATGGGAAAATGGAAAACTGGAACAAAACCGGCTAGCCAGTCAAACAGGTCAAGTAAGTTGGAAACCGACGCCGGATTTCGATCCATCATATTTATAAACCCAAATGTTCCCCATTTCGTGCAGCCGGTTGTGGCGTGGCACATGCTTTTTTTAGCCCAACAACCGGTAACTCACTCCAGAGGCTACTCACTCCAGAGGCTAAGTTCCACAACTAGAAAATGGCTCCAGAGTAAACATGCTGAACTGGTCAAACCAGTCAGAAACTGATGCCGGATTTCGACCTGGGGCACTCCAGAGCCATCCATCCTCGGGCATCGGATACATTCAATATTCTTTGTTTCAGCTCAAGATCAAAATTGAAATGCAAGATTTGACCACAAACAAACGGACAGGGCAAACTGTCTCACTAAATCATTTTATTACCTGGGCGCCTCACCTGTTTTTAGTCATATGACTGCAAACAAATCTGATTTTTTTTGGGGGGGGGAGGGGGTGTGCATTTATTTGATACTTTTTAGTACGGGTACATATTTGGAAAAGTACATATTTGGAAAAGTACATAATTGGAAAAGTACATATTTGGAAAAGTACATATTTGGAAAAGTACATATTTGGAAAAGCGTGTTTCTAAGAAGCATTTTTTTTTTAGATATCTCATTATTTTTATTTTTTAGTCAAAGTGTACACAATTTTAGCTCAATTGAAATTAGGAAGTGGGTCAAACTTGAGATGCAAGATTTGACCCGCAGGGGTCACTCATGGTTCAGTGGCGGTCACTGTTGACTTCTGATCATGGAGGGTAGTACTGTGATCCACCACAAACTAACAAACTGACAGAGCAACCAAAGAAAAAGCATTAAACAACCCATAAAAGCTATTTTTTTGGTATAAATCCTTTTTTGCACTGTATAATATGTAACAGTAACAATATCATAACATAAACCTGAATATTTTTTAGGAGGTAGGGGCGCCAAAATCTTGAACAGCCTGGGAAGCCAAATTGGCCAAAGTAGTTCCTAGATGTAGTATAATAAAAGATAAAGGTGGCCCTTTACTTACTCCCTAGAGGGTGTCAAAACAGTTTAGTTTTACTTTTGATTCTTTTATTAAAAAAAACCCACTTATTTTTATGAAGATATATTCTGTCAAGCCATAACTAATTAATAATGCGTGTTCTATTTCGCCCCCTCTTCTGAAGGAACAATTCGTACCGCTACCCTTTACTAAGAAATTTATATTCTTAATGACGATTATTACTTATTAAATGTTAATATAAAAGGACTTTTTGTTAGTCAACTTCCTTAGTTAATGTAGAGATTAAATCCTTTCATGATCTAGTTAAAATCTGGAGTAGGAATACATAATTATTTATACATAATTATTTCTCATTATTTTATAAACAAATACGGTACACCAGGTACACCCGTAAGACTTGAGAAAAAGTGGAATAGATCTCTCCTTTGAATAAGTATACAAATGGATAGTCTATATCATTTGTCAACTTTTCTTATTGAAGCTTAGTTATAGTTTATGCCAACATCTAAATGAATTCCTTCTATCAAAATTAATGTTTCATGACCTGTTACAAATAAAAGATTTAATGAATAATTGATTTTATCATTTCTGAATTTTATATTTATAGTTGACAGGGAATGGCTGAAATTGAGGTCAAGAACTTACAATTTCAAGATGTGTCAAAATACAGTATTTAAACAAAAAATAAAAAATTCCAATGCTCCCAATAATGCATTTGTGGTGATGATGGGCTTAGTAGGTAACATCCATCAAAATTTAGATCATCCACAGTAATAATGGATATTAACATACTTTTTAAAATTGATTTATTGTTAATTGGTAAAATGAACTAAAAAAACAACTGATACTTAAGGGGGCTATTTTTCATAACTTGTGGCATGCAATGTTACTGACAATTTTCCTCATTCACTACTTTAAGAACTCATCTAACTCAACCAATGGAGAAATGGTAACATAATGTATTTTATTATTGTAAGATAAATATACAATTTTATATTATTGTTACAGGAAAGAATGTACACACCGAGCAGGCGGTGGTTCTGTTACAAGAAAAACGACTTTTTTTTTTATAACTGGTGTGGATCAGAAATAGTTATAAGATTGGAAAAAAAAACAAGTCTGAGGCATGTGCCAGCTTCAGAATGTACGTACATAAAGCTCCAAACATATCTGAACAATGTAATACTTAGCTAATGAAATCAGATAAGCAAAGATTTTTTTCTTTGTTGTAACCATTACAGTACCTAGTAATTATATATAACGCTCATGATTTGTTTTGAAAATTGCTAACCTAAATCAGTGTCTAAACAAATGAATAAAAAACATGGTTAAAGAAAATGAAATTATTAATAAAACACAATCCGCTGAGTTATAATGTTGATGTAACCCACAGTGGTGGATGGTACCTCACTAATGACTTTCCCCATACCATTTCCTAAAAAAAACCCATGAAGATATAGCATACGCTTTTTTAAAACGTAATTAATACGATGATGTCCTGTGGTCAAAAATAGCTGATTAAACTGTTTAAATTTATTTCAAGATTCATGTTAATGATCTTGAACATTGGTTAAATTTTAGTTTGATGAGCAAAGCATAACTCCCAAAATAAAAACGAGAAAAAAAAAGACCAAACTTCGTACTTGCATTTATGAGATCACACTATATTATCAACTAAAAAGCTGGTACAAAAATATAATGCATAAATAAATACTTTAACATTTTATTTTTATTTTTTAATATGCAAAATGAAAACACTTACTTCATTCCATTCTATAGCATTAGCTTAACTAATGTCCTGAGGCGCACTGTTTTGTTATAGTAGTGAATTATAGCGTGTGTGCTGACCTAAAATGTTTATATTTTATAACTTTTAACACAATAGCTTAATATGCAATAGAAGCTTTGGTTGTTTCTTCCTCAATATTGAAGCTAAGTAAGCAAAAGCCTAACCTGTCACGCATTCGGAAAAAAAATGTTTGCTTACAGAGAAACCAAATCATAAATAATTTTTTAAGGTGATCAAAATTATAATGTTACATGTTTGTCTATTTATAGCACATTAAAAAAATCTTTTCACCAGCCAAAAAAAAACAAGTTTACAAAATGTCCCTTTATTGAAAAAAAATAAATAAAATCATAAAATCATACCAATAAATGAATCAACAAAAAGGAACTAAGTCATACTAATCTATGTCAGCATCCCCTCTCATAGTCCTTTAGTAAAGCTCTTTTTTTCAAACACTCCCACACATCTGATCATTTCAACCACCCTCGTTAAAGATTATCCATCCAATTCAAAATGCAAATATATCACATGCATTTGTGACTCAACATTTAAAAATGTTTACAAAGACAAAAAAAAATTATTTTTTTTTATGCTGATGGCATGTGTATCATAATAAAGGAAATTTCATTCATGGTCTATAAAAACCATTTAAAATTGTAAAAAAAAAAAGATATGTACACATGCTAAAAGGTTTTTAATATTTTGGCGTTTTGTTTTGTTGTCCACTTAAGTAAATAAAATTTCTTTGCTCAACAAGGTAAAGCCATTGTTGCAGTTTGATTTCTTTTCTATGTGTATTCACAGTTTCTATTTTATCAAAACCAGCTGTAATACTTCCAATATATGATAATCCTGGTCATTAAACAAAAAGCAGTACACAAAAGGTTACTACCCTTTCATCATTTGAGGAATGATGGGACTTGGAGATGATAAGATATTTGTAAAAAGGGCAGAGGATGAAAGAACTGTGCATTATGGTAGTCACAGATTCTATAATATGTCAATAGTATGCATAGATTTTTTTCTTGTATGTATCTTAAATATTTAATGCCACTAAGGCAACGAGCATATAATTGGGTGACTTGAGTTTCTTACTGCCACTAACATGATGTCTATAAATGTAAACACAATATATATAATACCCATGTGCTATGATCATACTTGTAAAGCTGAAATCCCAATCCATGGAATCTATGAGGAACATGCTAAAATAATGTCAAGATAAAAAGATAAAACAGAAATAATATTTGAGAAAGTTATCAGCACCCTCACCACTATGCAGTCTCTTCTCTTCGTTTCCTTTCATGCAAGCATTAGAAATAACACTGTACAAATTAAAGAATAACGTGATGGTAATATTTTTAAAATGTAACACACCATGAGCGCCACCCAGGATGATATGAAATAATGAAGCTTCAAACAAACTACACCCCATAATGTCAAACTAACTACACCCCATATTGTCAAACTATTACAATTAAGGAACACTTTGGAATTCAGCATATTTATTATGAATACATTTATAGACTCCAAAACTAGCAGCAGAAATTATTTATGATACCGATCTACTATGCGAAGAAAAAATAATATATGTTTGATGTCTATGAAGAAAATGACAATGCTCTTGTACATATATTTCAATAAGATAAGGTCTGCACTCAGTTCTGTCTGAAGGTTTTTCCTCTGAAAATAACAAAAATATGAATTATGAAAAATTTAAATGTTTGATTATGATTTTTTTTAATGATAGCATTTATAAATTTAACAAATGGATGGCGCCTTGTACTGCTGCAATGAGAAATGGTCACACAGAGCTAATTGAAAAAGAAATTCAAGTTGCTAATAATAATTTTCTCATTGATAAATGCAGCAGTTGTTGAAAAGCAGTTGCGCGCCACTACTAACAGCAATAAAAAATCAATATACTGCCATGGCTATTAATATTTTAAAATTGCTAACTTTGTAGTTTGACTTCACACACTAAAAATTAGTAAAAACACAAGACAACATACGTGATAGTTTTCTTTTCTCTATCTTTTACTTCTGGTCTTGCTCTGTTTAAGACTTTCAAAAATTCTGATGTTTTAGCTCTCATACTTTGATGAATATATGCCTGTAAAGTAAAATAACTGCATGTTATTTATATAATATATTGGTCATGAGACTCAATTCTCCAAAGCTTATTGGATAGAAATATACATTCAGTGATGCTTAAGCTTTGAAGAAAAAAAAATCCACACATTTGAGTATTTTTTAACAGTTCAAATCTAAAATGTTAAATGACTTTTTTGGAGATTCTTTAAAAGATCCATAGGCTGAGCTACCTGAGAAAAATTAGCTTTTTTTGAAAATGCTTTCATATAAATTAGTTTGATATAACAAGAGAAAAACATTTTAAAGCGACTGGACAAATATGTTATATATATTTATACAAAAGTGAACATTTGTAGGTCTGTTTATTCAGCATACGTCTCTACACTGATTGATGGCGCTTTATCAAATTTGGCATACATATTCATTATTCAGAATAAAACACAGGGGGGGGGGGGGGGAGGGCAGCTTGATGACGACACAAAAAATAAGCCTATGGGGGCCAGGGGGACCCTAATTCTATTTTTTCTAAATGAGTTTTATAAATAAAAGATCAAACGTAGACTATTGCATGGGTGGATCGGCGTAAACCAAATTTAGTACGCTAGTACACATACACTGGATTATCCAGATTCAAAGTCTGAAAGGTACTGAACTCATAATTTCCATTCCTTCGGGGCGGGTGTCCCCAATCTCATTTTAAAAGCTATATAAATAACAGTATGTTTAGTTAACATTATAAAGGCTTCTATTGGAATTGATCAATCTAGGCCAATTTGATAGTCATACATAATTTAATTTTGGTGGATCTTAACCTAATATTATCAACACAATTCAGTTTCGGAGGCCTCAATATTAAGAATTCAAAGGCTATATCTCTGCCATTTTCCACTCAATGTTAGGGACAACTTTTAAATTTTAACGTCACTATTTATCTAAATGATTTTTTTAGGGCCCCTATCTCGGGGATAATTATAACAGAATGACAGTGGAATAGGATCCACTGGAAACTGGATTCCATGGGGAATGAGATCTCATCGGAGAATGGGATCCCACAAGGGAATCGGATACCATTTGGCAAAGGGATCATGACAAGGGAACAGGATCTCAAAGGTGAATGGGATCCGCCATGGAATGGGATCCTACTTTATTTTAAGTGATAAATGATCATAGCTTTGGCAATAATAACATTTTTTTTAAAGGGACAACTTTGAAAAGTTAGATTAGTATGATTAAATTATATATTTTTTTAAACACAGCCATTTGCGTTTTAGCTGAAAAGCTGTAGAAGGTTTTCCCGAATGCAATTCCCGGGGTCTCAAGGAACATTGGCTAGTAAGTAAATAAACTTAAAAGCCAATTAATGCACATTAAATTCACATTTGTAAAATATGACATTTTCAATCCAGTAATACTTAAATAAGTTTTAAAATGTTGATAAACAAAAGAATCAGCAAGGAGGATAGTGTGTACAGATGGAATTGAATGTTATCATTCAATCTCTTTTTAAATGCACAACCCCCCCCCCCCCCCCCCCAAAAGCAGAAGTCTTATGAACAAAGGTAATGAAGTTTATATAAATTAACACATCCTAAACATTTTTTGGCAAGTTGGGAGGGTTAAAGTATATCTCCAGTAGCCATTAGCAGTAACAAAATGTTGCCAGATTTCTTCCAGGAATGGGTAAATTATGCTCCAGAACTGGCTGCTTTCATTGGCAGTATTATTTGTTACATTAAAATGTTGTAAGTAACCATAGACTCATAGAATAGTGAGCCTGTAGGTATAATAGTTAAAATAAATTAATTCTACAAAGAAAATACCTTGGAACATTTTATATGATAATGAAGATAATCCCTCAACATATGAATAAGGTTAATTGTATTGTCCCTGGCATTCAAGCTGGTGTGTCTTGGGAACAAAACTGAAGTTTGTAAAAAAAAAAAGAAAAAAAAAAGAGAAAGATATTTTATAATCAGCAGCTAAGTCAAACTCCAAAAACAATTCATAAAATCATACTAGCGCTTGCTAAGTGTGTAAACAGAACTATTATTGACAAATTAACTAAGACAAGATTTCAATTTTTGTTTAAAGTTGATGTAAATGTGTAAAAAATTGTTAACATAAATTATTACAGAGGAAAGCATTAACCCAGTGCACACGACTCGTTACTTTATTTGGAAACCATTGTTAGAATAAAACGTAACACTTAAAAATTAATTGTTCACAGGATTTAGAGAAAAAAAAATGAATAGAAAAAGTTGACAGAGTAAATTCAAATAATAAGAATAAAGTAATATTGTACCGAATGTTATGTAGCCTATGTTATCCCCAGTACGAGCATCTGTGTTTTGAAGTTCTTGGGGTGGTTCCTTATGACTGAACAAAACTTGTGGAGCCTGTTGGTACTTTCTCCGACCTTCCTTGAATTCCTGGAGTGACATTCATGAAAATCAGGTAGTACTTATTAGAAGATAATTCTACACTTAAAATCAAGGACATGTCATGTTAATCAAATTCAAAACTGAAAATATTTTCCACTTTTACTTTCACATTTTGTTTATACGTTGCAAGCTTTAAGTGCAATAATACTATTAATTCCACAATCCAGCTAAGGAAATGGATTCAAACAAAGCCACCTCATTTTCTGTCTCGGGTTAATCCTGTAATATAGGCCAAAACGTGCCAAAGTGTCCTCGTTTTATAGCCATTTTAATTGTTTCTATAGTATAGTAGTTACTATCCTAATGTCTCATTTTTATTGTAGTTAGTTTGCATGTTTTTAATAATTGTAAAGCGCTTAGAGCTTTAAGGTAAGCGCTATATAAAAATGCCTAAATAAATAAATAAATAAATAAAAGTGACCAAAAAGAATCTCTAAAAGGAATAGTGTTGGTGCACCACAACTAATGAAAAGACAGGTAATATTAATTATGAACCAGTTTAAACCACTCATCATGTGAATGTTATTAGAAATATTAAGATAGGATAACTTCATGTAAAGGATAACTTCATGTATGAAAATTGATAATTTTAAAATAAATCTTTAATTCTGATACCAGAACTGGTTGATAGGGTCTTTTAAGTCAGGACTGTGCATAGGGAAATAATACCAATGTCATCCCTTACATGCTTTCATTTAACAAAATTTAGCAGCATTATTTGGTTACCAAATTTTTTTTTATTGTTTTGGTTTCAACTAAACTGACTAACATTTTGTTTATTTAGTATGTATTAAGTGCACAGTAAAAAAAAAAAGAAAAAAAGAAATGAAGAATAAAATAAAAATAGTTACCTGCATGAACACTTTGCCTATTACAATATCATCATCGTCTTTAAATATGGTGCTGAAGATCACAGTCACTCTGTCTTTCTTAGCCTCTACATACCTATGGATGTGATTAAAATAAAATTTACCTCTACAGTACTTTAAACTTTGATAATTATACCGATTGTGGTCCGTTACTCAATAGTTTTAAAATGTTTTTAACTGTTGCTAAATCAAAAAAATCATAGGTATCATTAACTCTTTGAACCCAGCTTTATTAGTCTGTGTTTTAAAAATTCTCAACCCACCAGACCGATATTTCGGTCTCCCATACCTTACCCTAGATTGACAGTCCATAAATAAAAATGTGTTGTAAATACTGTGTTCAGGGTATATCACTTGACTTGCAAAAGGTCACAGTAATGGCCGCGCCCACAGAATGCATTGTTTTGGTTATGTTTTATTAATGTTTTTCAATGAATAGAGGTGACGAAAATAAAAAAATTTGCTAAGGACTCAAACTAGAGCAGGTTTATGATAACGTATATGATTAAAAAGGATTTTTATCGTATTTTGAAAAAGGATTGAAATAAAGTAAATAGGCAATGATAGTGATGATCGATTGACTTCAACTTCTAGTGCTATTGATGTGTGAAATTGGGGAATAAAAGAAACAACACAAGGTCTACCTTAAGTCCTAAAACTGGCTTTTATGAAAAATTAAGGTTGTGTAAATGTCCTTTAACTATGCTATTTTACACTATTTCTAAGACAACTTTCTCCCTGTAATACATTTTATAATACATATGGACTACTAGCAGACAAATTTAGAGTGAAATAAATAAAATTTATTTAATTTTATAATCATTGGATTTTGTTTGTTTGGTATCAGTTAGTGAAAATTTTTCCCTGGAGCATGGGAATTTTAGGACTAGGAGCCAAAGGTTCAAAGAGTTTTAAATATGTGAGCGATGCCTAAGAACTATTACAATATGAAATGATCATTTAGCATACTAACATAGTTTCATCATCCCTGTAGTGAATCACCGCTCTTGCATTTTCTTCATTCCCATTCTCTTGAAACTGAAAGTATTTTTCAAAGACAGAAGCAAAACAGTTTCGCTTGAGCATGCTGGCTTTTGTAACCAATTCTTGCCAGTTGTCTGGGATCTTCTCAAGGTCAAAAACAATAGACACATTGAAACCTGGTAGAGAAAATTAGAATTTATAAAAAAATTAGGACTTAAAATCAATATTATAAAGAGCGCAAGATTTTAAATACAGTTTTTATTATCCTAACAGTTTAAAAAATAATAATGAAAATTTAAATTTCAGTAAATATCTTAATCCTACCTGATTCAGTCGTTGTTAGCAAGCTACTGTATTCTCTTTTAATCAACTGAAAATATTAATTTGGTTAAATAATAATTTGGTTAAAGACTTATTACTAACAAAAAAGTAAATTATGCCTAACTCATCTCACACAGATTATATATTTCAATGCAATAAAATACACTTAATGATTGAATGGACAAGTTATAATTTTCAGGCAAAGCTAATGTCAATAATACATTTTAATAAGTAACACATGCATTAAATAAATGGAACTTTTGATTTTATAACTTTTTTGTTGTAGCCACTGAACTTACATCATCAGCACCATGTTTTTGGAGATCTTTGTAGAATTTTAATGATATGCTGACCTAGAATTAAGAGAAAAAAAATTTTGATTTAAAAGTGACAATATAAAAATAGAATTTCTTTCTCTAAATACCTATCTAATTAACAAATAAGGATTGTATACAATTTAAGATTTAGCTTTGTAATATATCTTTATAGAGATCCAGGTTACCATGATTTTATTTTTGTTTCCTTCTGGGTTAGACATGTGAAAGAGAACACCATCAAAGTCTGAAATTAAAAGAAAAATGAATATACTTAATATTACAAAACAGAAGGCCTAGTTAAAGCAAACACTTATAAACTAATTTTTTAATACTTCCTTTCTGTTAACTAAGAACACAGTAAATTAGCATACTGCAGCACAGACTTGTCAGTTTATTGTGAAAACACCAATATTAAATATTTATTAAATATTTAATAAAAATTGAATTCATGCTAAATAATAATAACAAAAATATTTTTTTAAGATCAACTTGCCTGCAATTGTGATATCCACATTATCTGGCTTTCCCCTTAAAAAAAAGAAAAATTTACATGAATTGGAAAACATGAATAAATAAAAACTTAAGCCAAAACTCTTAGCTTAAATGTGACTATATAAATATGAAGCTAAAAAAGCACACTCAAAAACACAATAAGCAGTTCTTCAAGTAGCTAATCTTTCTTGTAAGTGTACTAATTGATGGGGTAAAAAAGTGTGTAAGCTTTGCATCGTTGAACAGCACTAGTGACAAATAGTTTTGCTGCAGTGGCATCTTGACTTTTAAGTTTCTTTTGTGCTAAATCTATTTTTATGTCTGATATTACTCACTGTAATTACTTTAACTAAATATTTAAATAACACCCTGTAATTAAATTATGTCCCTTTGCTTGTATGCATTTGCATTTTCCATTAATTTTTTTTTAGCTTTCCAATGCAGGAACAGTAACACAACATAGATATAAATGACATGAGGAATACTTTTATGGATAATACAGAAAAGCCTACAGATTACTGTTTCACTACGATGAAGTAACTACTTCAATATTAACATCTAGAAAAAATGTGAATTATCAATTACAGAATAATTTTTGTGACCCAGACTTGGGCCAGGTCTTTTATATTCATCACCATGTGTCATGACTTACCGATTATGAACTTAACTTGTCCAGGAAAGAAGTAAAAGGAGGATTCTATTGTCTAAAGTCCTATATCTAGCAATGTACTTTTTTCAATTACATTATTTTGTATTAAAAAAAACAACAGCTTATTAACTACAGTCTTCTAATGTGTAAAATAAAGCTTTTTTTTTCGCCTGTCAAACTATGAACTTTGCCTATCACTTTATTAATATTAGTATTATACAACAGTCAGTAGACAACACAAATAATTTAAGACAGTATGACTTTTGAGTTACTGACAATACCCGTACTGACTTAATCTGTAAATGTATAGCTAGCAGCATAGGTTTTGTCAAGAGTTTTCTCACCCTAAGCGCATTTTCTTCAACACTGAACTTGGGATCATATACCAATAGTTGGTCCTGAATTATGACATTGTATGATAACTTTCCCCATTCATCACTGAGCATTATTTGTGTCATAAACTAAATCTAATGATCAATACAGTTAATAAAAAATATATTTGAATGAAAATTTCCATTACCACAATTAAACTTGCAAGGTTCAATACAAATTTTTTATAAAAGAAACAATTCTTTGCGATACTCTAAGATTTACATCACAAAAAAGATGAGTTCATTGTTAAAAATGCTGTCTTTTGATTGGTTAAAAACTAGGGGTGTGCCGGATCCGTTTTTTCCAACCGGATCCGGATTTTCTTATGCGAAATCTGCCAGATCCGGATTCCGGTTTCTCCCGGATTTTGGTACTTTGCAGATACCGGTAAATCTGAGGGGTTGGATGCCTTCTGAACAGTTGGCACTATCATGTATGGGATTGGGCCGATTGGCCACTATTAGCGGTGCTGACTCTAGCCTCTGGTATGTTCGGAATATTAAACATTAAACAAGCTCAACGCTCGAAACAATCGATTAATGTATCGTGATCGTGTGGAATTCGGGAAAGAGAATTACTTTTATTTCAGATTATGATCCGGTGAGTCACAAAATCTGGCAAATTCCGAAATCCGGTATATTCCGGATTCCGGTTGTTCCGGATACATGTAAATCCGGCGGAACCGGATTCACCGGATAGTGCAAAATCCGACGGGACCGGATTCCGGCACACCCCTATTAAAAACAGAAGTACCCATTTGCAATTCATTTCAATCATATCGTCATTTCACAGGACATATCAAAATAATTTTCTGGGGAGGTAAGACCCGCCCGTAGAGACAAAATGAAAAATAAAACTTTTATCAAATAAACATTTAGCTAAAATCAAATTCTTTTGATTACAGAACTAGGGTCAGTAGTTGACCTGGGGAACCTTCATGACCTGTATACTGTGAAAGACTTTGCCAACCTTGCCACTAACTACATCTTGGCCAACTTATAATAAGTCTAAATATAAGTTATACTACTCTTATCTTAAGGGTGGTGACAGCAAAAACTACTTAGAGACAACAACTAATATTTTAACAATGTTTGGCCGAGGCCTACATCCAGAGATCTTAAACAACCTGGAAATATTTTTGCCTAAGCCCATTGCTGCACAAATCTAATGTATTTAATCAAATAGACTACTGAAATCAATCCCCTACACCAGGCCTGCACAACATATGGCCAGCGGGCCGCATGCATCAGCACCCACTTTGCGGCCCCATAGGTGGCCGAGTGGTCTAAACTGAGCAAATCTCAAGTTGGTGGTCTGGAGTTTAATTCCAGCTAGAGCAAAAATACCACCAGCACCCCGGGTAGATGGGACTCGTTAACCCTGGACGGCAACTCATCTAAGAGAAGGAAACTCTGAAATCAAACCCGGAGATGGAGTCCCGAAAGGCGGATAACATTGATACAATGAAACATTCCGACAACTCCTGCGACGTCACTGGTGCCAAGCTGTATCATCCAATGATGTTCCCTTGGGTTACCCAGCGGCGTGGAGAGAGGCGATTTGCTGTTATAATCCTTCAAGTATAATAATCCCAGGCTATGTGGATTTCGTCCTACGAAGCCCACTCCATCGTCACATTGTGACGGACGGATGCCAGCAGGAACAAAATATTGGCGTATCTTATTATTTTCTTAATAGCTTTCCCCCCTGTCCTATTTTCTTTTGACCCGCACAAGTATTTCAGCCTGTCTTACATTTTGAGTTGTGCAGGCCTGCTCTACACCAGCACTGTCTAACACACTGCCTGCTAGCTGATTTTAATTGCAAACCACAACTCAATAAATTTTAAGTGTGTAAAAATAAAACATTTTAGGGTGAAAGTACTTTCAAACCAAACTCATTGATTAAATATTTTTGGCAAATTGTGTGAGAGTACAGGAAAAGTTGTAACATGGAAAAAAGGGAGATGTCATTTGTGGCCCTCAAGATTGGCTGAAAAGTTTGTCTTGGTTCACATCACACAGACAGAAATGTTGGACAGCCATGCTATACAGTATATATTAATATGGGATGAGGTGCCAAATAATATTAATAATGTGTATTTATGATTTATCAGACATAAACGTATCACGACTAAAGTAAACTGTTATGGATTCACGATCTAATAAATTTTTATGTTGGCCCTTACGGCTAATACTAATCATTAACAAAGTTTAATTAAGTAAGTATGTGAAGGCATAGTAGGTGTGGTATGGGTACGGGTAGGGTTGAAATCTAAACTAAACAAAGTTGTACAAATATAAAACTTGGATCTGGAGAATAAGGTCCTATAAACCATAGAGTGCTTCCATTTTAAAATATTTACGAATACTGGCATACCCCAAATACTTTTCTTAAATAAATCCTTGTTAGTATGTAACTTTAATAAGCAAAATTAAAAGTGTGAGAAAGATATCTTAATTCAGGAAGTGAAAATATAGGCGTCTCCATTCAATTGCTCCACACCGGAAACAAATAAATAGTAAGAATAATAAGATTTTCAACAGCGTTATGGGCTATTGGTTGGACGAACAATAATTACCCTTCCAAAATGTTCTTGATTTTAAACGTTAACGTTTCTTGAATAATGCGATTATTTATTTCCAAGAGAATCATTGTTATTTCTTTCGGATTCAAACCCTAACCGGCAGCAATCAGAACACTCCGTTGAGTTTAAAAGAGGAAGTAGCCATAAAAAGATGGCGTCTGTAGACTGAAAGTGATTGGTCATATACAAATCACATGATCCATGTTACTATTTGTAGATTTTTTTAGGTATCCGCCCCCTTTTCACTTCACACCGCCGAAGACAACACTCTTAAATCTTAAATCAACTGAACTCTCTATTCTATAAACCTTTTAAAATAATTTAAACGTGGTAACGTGGCAAAATAAGAAAAGACTGCTAGAAAAATTAAATAATCAAATTTTTGCCTACTAGTGCTAATGACTAATATTATAATTATATTATTATTATCTATAACTATTGACAATTGACTTAATTAATGATGGTCCATGCCATGGCATTTGGCTCATTTGGTTTTTGGACCTCTTAATTTGGTTTTGTGGTTTATTTATAATTTAATATTAAATTATTCATTTAGAATGAGTCATTTCACGTTCAATCGGGCATTAACTTATTACAAACTGGGCCCTATTTTTTTATATTTTCTTGTACATCTTCATCTAGGTTTATATTTATAAAGTGTATATTAGTAGTATATTAGAGCAAATTTTAGTACTATTAGTTTCATCATTTTCATTAATGATAATGTCATTAAATTATTGAATGATAATTTAATTAATTTTACCATCAATCATATAAAAAAATCAATGATTATAAATAATTTTATAATCATTGTCATGTTGATGACTACTTTGTTCTAGGAGGGGGAGCATTTGAGTTTGAAAGTTAGTCTACCTGACTATTAGTAATGAATTTGAATTATGTTTATAGTTCATTATTAACTTCTTTTTTCATAAAAACATTAATACTATTAAGATATATATTATATATATATAGGCCTATAGATAATGGTAGATAGCCATACTCAAGTGTAGGCCTACTTTTTTTCTTCAGAGGTGTACAGTACAGATCAGAGAGGTATTTATTATATTGGCATTCATAATCTAATTCTAATAGAAAATGTCAACCAGCTCTGTGGAAATCTTTGGAGGTGTTGAAGGGTGAGAACAGTTGATATATTCACAATAATTTTAATTTTAGTATTTGTAATATCTCTCAGTGATTTGTGTTGATTGGAATTGAAGATGATGATTGAATGGCTTTTAGGATTCAATCTGGGATATTTATAATTTAAAAAGAACAACAACCTGAACACAACTTTATTTTTGCTTTTGAAATCACATACTTTAAGAAAGCTATTACTATATTTATTCAAATAAAAAAGGGGGAACAGTTATTGGAAAGTTGATAGCAAAAACACTAATAAATTCTTCAAAATGTGTGAGCTTCAAGTGTGATGTTTAAAACTTAGCTTTTGATAAAGGTTATCTTATTAAAAATAAGGCTAAATTTGATATATCGTTTAACACACCCCCGCCCCCCATAAATACTGTCCTTTTTCTAACACTTCATGAACATGCACAATATATATACTTAATTAAAAATTTGTGTATTTTTTAAGTAGCTAAGAGTGACTAGCCACTAGTACTAGGAATTTTATCAAAGTTATAATTCTTTGAACATTAACCAGTATAATTTATTTTCAAATTGAAAAAATGTTACAAACTAAAAACTACAAGTATAAATAGGGAAAAATAGGTACTTCTTCTGTAAAAGGCCATACTATCATCACAAATTAGGTGTCTTATATCTTATATAAAATATGAGGCTCATAGCTGTATACATAACATTTTACCTTTCATTATTTAACGAAAAAATATTATGGAAAAATTTTAGGGTGGTGGCAGAGATTTGCAAATCTTTAAGGTGAGGGGAGGATGTCAGTTTTTTCCTGCGGATACTCTTGTGTTATTGCGGTAAAGAGATGTTAAAAAAATGACAAGACCTCTTTCTATGTAGAAGAATGCTAAGTATGTGAATGTGTTTAATCAAATGTAGCATTTCATGTGAAAACATTTCAGAGGAGCTTCTAACACAAAGTTTGTCCTCATGAACTCTGAAGGGAAAGTACTTTCTATCAGCCAAGGAGAAGGCACCAATCAATATGTACGTAAATTAAATTTTTGCTCTGAAAACATTTTAAAAGTGTAAATTCGGAAGCTAGCCAAAGCACCAACTTTTAATATGATCATGTAAGGTCATCATTTTACTATTTAAATAATGAGGAAAAAACCGCACTATCCTATGGTGTAACTTATGGTGCCACCTATATCCTTCACACCTATGTTAAAAATGTTGTTTACAAAATTAGTACACAAATGAAAGCATTTTTTTCCTTCATTTTTACGGGAGGAAGGGGGTTTGGGTGTAGTATCGATTTTGTGACAACAGGTCTATGATTGAAAAGAGTTTTAATAAATGTGACAACAGACTAAATTAACATGCTCAATTCACTATTTAAACAAAATTAATTTTGGATCTATGGTGATATTCTTCAAGAAATGGTGCCTCGTAGACAGATAATAGTGGTAATCTTAAGGTGCAGTAGTAACATGAACAATTACGTTGGGGTCTAGCCCCTTCCCCACTATGAGGTAATAGCCGCATTTTTCTGTGTGCACCTTGGGAGAAGCTAAATTTTACATAATGGTGAGTCCAATCCTTGGAAAATAGTAGCAAAGGTGGCATAAGATATATATCACTACTTTTTTTTAACCTATGTTTAAAACAGCCTCACATTACTTTTGGGAGGGGGCTGTGTCACTTTTTTTTTGCTTCCTCATTCCCTTTTTTCAGAGATAACAGTTAATATTTTTCCGACTCACAACTTTGGGGCCCCTGAAGCCTCAAGGGTTGTAAGGCCCACACGATGGCCAGAATTTACAGTTAAATATTATGTAAATAAGCTCCGGGCAAGGGATGAATATAAAAAATGATTAACTTTTTAATGGCAACAGCCGGTCTGTAAATGCTGTAATGCAAGTGTTGAATTTCATCAGTCAATAGGGACTTAGTGACATGAATTTTAGCTTTTCACATGAGATTCTTACAGAATAATAGATTTGAATTTGAACGTTGTAGAGTCTGACTTTTTTTGTATTTATAAGAGTAAGCGGCACAAGCATATTTTGGTGGGGATTTTAGTGTGTTTCTAAAATATTTTTTTAGGGATTTGTTGCTTCCATAGGTTTTTGTGACAATGTAGGGTCAAAGACCCTAGATTTTTGTGACAATGGAGGGTCAAAGACCCTAGAATTTTGTGACAATTTAAGGACAATAATCCTAAGTTTTTGTAACAATTTAGGGACAAAGTTGTGCTAATAATGCAATAAATAAGAAATGATGCATATTATGTTTCTTAGAGTTCTGCCATTCCTCTTGTCACTCTAAGTAACTAGAATAATAAATTTATGATACCTTCTTGTCTGTTATGGTTCATTATTCATTGTTAACTTGAGATAGTTATTATCACATTTTAACCTGTTTGAGTTAGCTTTCTTTATTCCATCATCACAAGCAGCATACAAATTTTTTATTTGTTTAAAAAAAAAGTTAATTGGTGTGGATGAATGCCTCCGAAGGATCACTGCGCTTATCAAAGATGCCATCCTGAAGGCAGGTTTGCCAGAGGACACCACACTTTATGGACTGGTTAGTTGACAACTGTTTCTTTGATTTCAAGGGTCTAACAATTTTAGTAATAATAATAAGATGGTTTAAAAATAAAATATTTGCACCCCGCCACTTCTGACTTAACAAATAATTTAAAAGATGCTTATTTTGTTTCAGGTAATTATAAAAAATTTTTTTTAGTTTCTTAATAAAGATGTTGAGGGGGATTGAGAAATACAAACAAAAAGTCATGGATGTTGTTTGCTTATGCTCTGTAATGGGGAGGGGGTGGGGGTGGGGGGTGGGGTCTAAGAAAGTGTGACAGTTTGTGATTTGGAGTGTTTATAAATCATATGTGAACTAAAACATACAATTTTTATTATACATTTAAAATCTGAAATTGAAAGTGATGTTTATCTTCTGTTGTAATGGATGTATTCTGGCAGAAGATGTCACTGTGTGAATTTTAGATTAAACTTTAATTAATTGTTTAATTAAAAAAAAAATTTTTTTAGTGTTTTTTTACTTGACACAGGTCCAAGATTTGTGGCAGTGTGGTGAAGAGGGGGTGTGGGGGGGGGTTTGGGATGGGTAACATTGTCCATAACAGCTTGACATACTTCATGGACAGCCATCGAGTCTTAATTGGCATTTGAACCAATTTTATTATTTTAAACTGTAAATAATTGAGAGGAGAATTAAATTCAAAGATAATATCTCAGCAACAGCCAGGTCAAAAGTAAATGGTTCTAACCCCCTTTTACATTTATAAAAAAACTGCTTAGCAAATTCTTTTCAGATATATAATTTAAATGAAAAAATTGATAATAATTTTTAACAACATTAAATTTGAACTGCCTTTATTGACCTCACTCAACAGGGTATGAGTTTAAGTGGGGGGGATGAAAAGCTTGTCCAAGAACAAATCAAGGAGGCTGTGAAGACCAATTATCCTAACCTCACTAAACATACTTTTGTTGGGAGTGACACACAGTCTGTCCTGGCTTCAGCATTACCCAATGGTCTGTGCCCCATAGGTTTATCAATTAATTTGGCTAATGTTTTTAATAGTTGACTAAATAACTTAAGTATTATTTTGTTTATAGTCGAATTAGTACTAGTACATATAATATTAAAGGTTAGTTAAAATCATTATCTTTTTGTTTCTTTGCAAGGCAATCATTAATTAATACTGAAAAATCATACTTGATCCATGTTCCCCTTCATGTTTGACAGAATCTTACTCATAATTTAAATCTATTAGTAGTATTAGAAAAAAAAAGTAAATCAAAATCATATTCTTTAGATATTTATTGTATGCATTCCTTTTAATAAAAATACAATAAGAATGTCATGTGGCTAAAGAATGTTTTTTTAACAAAAAATGATGGTGCTCAAGACATTGCACTTATCTCAGTTATTACCTGCACAGGTCTTTGCTTTTATTTAACAAGTTTCTTTTAACTCAAGAAGCTTGAGAATGTCTAAATTGTATGACTGGATGAATACATATTTATGACATTTCAAACCATAAATGTTTTTAAACTTTGCACAGCAAATAAAATAATGATCAAAATTATTGTTCATGCAGGAGGTGTGGTCCTGATTGCTGGTACAGGCTCAAATTGTCAGTTGATAAACCCTGATGGCACCATGGCTAGATGCGGAGGCTGGGGACATCTTATTGGAGATGATGCCTCTGGTAAAAATTCTCATTGTCTTCTGTGTCTTTTCTGGCTGTGTTGAGATGTACGAGACTAATGATGTTTGAATTAATTGGTCATGAGAGAACAGATGATCATGTTAGGATGATTTAGACATATTGGACTGATTAATAATTTTGGGCAATGGCAAAAACAAATCCGAAGCTCATTCATGTAAACACAAGATTCAATCGACATCTTGAATAGACCCAAAATTTATTACAATGTTTAAATTTTAAAATTAAAAAAAAATTCTTCATATTAACTTCGCTTTTGTTTGCGACTGGCATGATGGTCGGAAGGCTAATTGACCCACTTCCCATCAACCCATCAAGCTGAAACTTGGCACACAGACTCATTTCCGATGACAACGGATTCTTTCAGATTTTCAGCCCCGCCCCCTAATCCCAACCCCCAAAAATGAGTTTTTCCTGTTTTTCAAAGGAAATATAAGGACAAGGTATGGTAAACTTGAATTCATTGACAGGACAAAAGATTGACGTTGCGGCTAAGAGCCTTTATCAGAAAACAAGACGAAAAAATAATAAATATCAGATCTTTTGTCCTGTCAATGACTTCAAGTTTACCATACCTTGTCCTTGTATTTCCTTTCACAACTTGAATGCAGTCTATCAATTATTATCTTTTTTTCAAAGGAATGATGAAGGATTTATGATTTCATGAAATAAAATTCTCAATAATTGGGCTAAATGAGATTCTTTAAAAAAAAAATGTTACAGGTGCGTTTGGTGCATAATATATTCTTTTCTTTTTTTCTGAAATAGTGGGTGAAATAAATCTGTGGTGTAAAAGAGGGTTGGTCATTAGAATATTAATTACTAGTTATAGCCCGCCAAACATTGGCGGTAGCAATGCGTGAACTTCCCATCTACTAAATTTACTTGACAAAAACGTGAACTCAAGTTACGCACACATTTTATTTCATGCCATGAACTATATTAATATTCACTTGTCCCAACCACTTTTAAACCGAATATTTTTTACACAATACTTAACTTGAGACGATTTCCTTTCCGAAAAGAAAATATAATATTACGTCCCAAACGCAATTGCGTTATTAAAAATCTATATATATCATTTAGCGTAGTTATCAGGAATTATATTTTGCGCGTTAGTGAGCTCATTATTTAACCACACTCTGGCGTATCTATATATAGCCTGCGTGGTGGTGTTTGACCTTTGCTGGCGAATTATATATATATAGATAATAAGTTTACCATACCTTGTCCTTGTATTTCATAGAATATTAATATAATTCAGGGCATGGAAAAAATGTGCAGTTGCAAGTTTGTGGGGAGGGAACTCCAATAAGGATACTTATAAACTGTGTTACTTATATGCATTTTTTAATAAAATATTCAGCTCCCAACCACCCATTGCTCGATATTACATTTTATTTATAAAGGATTTATGTGAAAAACAGTTTTTTTAGGGGTTGTTTAATTAATTTCATTTGTTGACAAAAACCTGGAGTTGGAGTCTTTTTATTATAAATTAGTATATAGACAAGGCTTGATGTTAATCAGAAGTGTCCACTACATCTTGTATCAGAAGTGTCCACTACATCTTGTATCGGAAGTGTCCACTACATCTTGTTGTATTTCAATGTCTAGAAGCAAATGGCAGTTAATAGTTGAAGCAGTTTAAGAAAATTTAAATAATTTAGATATGAATCCTAAAAAAATGTATCTGTAAATGTTTTAAGGAACTAATTCATGGGATCCTGGATATGCACTAAAACCAATTCATGAAATTAATATAATTTTATCTTTTTCTTTAGATACAAGACATGGTTTTATTTCTACTATTGATATTTCTAAATCAATTTTGCATAGTTTTAATTTTTTTATCTACATTCAGCAATCTGGATTACTTTGAAAGCTATAAAAGTTTACTTTGACCATGAAGATGGCTTTTTGCCCTGTCCACATAGCACTGCAGTTGTACGGGAAACTATATTTAACTACTATAATGTGAGTACTACTACTAGTCAATAGTTTGAGTGGTTCTCAAAATATTTTTAAAAGCTTAGACTTATTATTGTATCACCATTCTACAACTGACCCCAGGGTGACAAAGGTTTCAGAGGGCTTAAATAATTGTAAATATTGTATGTTTACGAGCAGTTAGTTTCAATTTTAGTTTCACAAATTGTATTTTATTTACATTTTACACATTTAGGATACTCCAGATATATCATCAAACATATGTCCAGAAAAAAACAACTAATAAATAACTTTAAATGATAATAAATAATGTCCCATGGTGATTCCTTTCTTTTAATATTTTTTCAACTGCAACATTATTGTATGTATCTATGTAAACAATTGCTTTCATACTTTTTGTGTGGCAATAGAAAGAAAATAATTGATTCATTTTCTAAAATCAGAAATATCTAAGCTGCTAAAGTTTAATTTATTTTTTTTTCCCCTTCCCTATTTAGATACAAGATCGCAGTGGTATTCTGGATCACCTCTATACCAATTTTAATAAAGCCAAATTTGCTGGATTGTGTAAAGAATTAGCGGAAGGTATTTATTTTTCATGTCTTTTTCATAAATTATCCCCCACAACCCCACCCTTAAAAAACTTGCACCTCTTAAAAAAAAAACGTGAGTAAATATTATTATTAAACTAATGACAGTAATGTAATATTTGTAACTTAAATACTCTTATTGCTATTTCTTTTTATAGTTTGTTACGCCCATGAAATTGAAGAAGGTTGTTCCAATGAACATATAATAATAATGCGTAATTTATTAAATTATATTGCCATTGTAAATATTCATTTTTAAATTGGTCGATGGTTTATAATAATCTTCAATCTTCAGGTAATAATTTAGATTTTTAGATATTTGAGGTACCACAAACCAAAGATTGCCTATCTCCTCCAGCTAACAGCAGACTATAGTTTGGAGAACACTGTTTATCGTTAAGTTCTATGTAAAAGATTTTCGCACAAGGAAATATTACCGATAAGCAATCATACAAAACAAATAAAAACAGTTTGTCCTTGCACATTACACCGCAGACATTGTAACATTACCAACACCATTATGTGATCTTTTTGTTTTGTGAAAAGAAAGCCTCAATTTAAAAATAATTATAAAGACCAGGAACTCTATAGCTTAAGGCACGCATTAGAATTAGAATTACTTAGATTTTGAAAAATATTAATGTTCTGTGATTTGTTTTACTTATGAATTGCTTTGATTGTAACATATTTCAACTTTTATCTCCTGCTTGATAATCAAGAGATTATTTTATACTTGTACATTTATTTGTTATTTTACTTTGAGCATTCAAGAAGTTACCAATTAAAAAAGTCTCAAAGTCACCTTACTTAATGGGAAATTTTATATTTAATTGGACAGCTGGCATTGTGAAGAAAGATCCTTTGTGCTGTGAAATTTTTAAGGAGGCTGGTCGACTTCTAGCAAAACATTTGTATGGAGTGTCTACAAAAATGCATAAGGTACGACACAATATATGACATTGGACAAGTATCGGACAAGTATCTGATACGTTAGCTGTCTTACAAACACCATAAGGTATAGTAAATTATTTTCTTTGCATTGGAGAAATATCTTAATTATCTTAAGAAGACCCTTATGCATTTTCTCCATCACTATTTCAATTACTCTTCATTTTACTAATTTGCTATAACTTAATTGAGCATTTTATTTTCACAGGATTTGAAAGAGAGAGAGGGAGGCTTACCTGTGGTGTGTGTCGGGTCAGTGTTTAAAAGCTGGCAACTTCTCCAACCTGGTAAATAGATGTCTCATCAACAATTCTAAATACAGTGTTTGCATAGTCTTAATGGGGGCTATTTACCACCTCTGTGACATAAATGTAGGGTATCAGGCCTATTCATCACCTCTTTGACATAAATGTAGGGTATCAGGCCTATTCATCACCTCTGTGCAAAAAATGTAGTGTATCAGGCCTATTCATCCCCTCTGTGCAAAAAAAGTAGTGTATCAGGCCTATTCATCACCTCTTTGACATAAATGTAGGGTATCAGGCCTATTCATCACCTCTGTGCAAAAAATGTAGTGTATCAGGCCTATTCATCCCCTCTGTGACATAAATGTAGGGTATCAGGCCTATTCATCACCTCTGTGACATAAATGTAGGGTATCAGGCCTATTCATCCCCTCTATCTCTATGACATTGTTTTGGCTTACAACAGCTCCATCCAATATCAACTAAACCTGTCAACTTGCTTAGTTTTTCTTAAAGTTTTCATGTTTAACCAGCTAACTTATTGTTTTAAAAAAAAAATATGAATAAAATATTCCATCTATGCCAAGGTTTTGTTGAGGAGATGAGTGCCACGTTGCCAGAGACCGGCATTAGAGAAGTCACGTTACTTAGACTTAACTCGGAGGCCAGCCTGGGAGCTGCGGCGTTGGGAGCAGAGGCGGCGGGAAAACAACTTCCTTTAGACTACGCCAACAATGCTTCAGCTTTCTTCCACACTAAATTTACAGAATCTTAACGATTAGTTGCAGATTTAAATGCTTTGACAATTGAATATGTTGTTTTAGTTTTAATGTCAGTTAAAGAGACAGTAAATGGTAACTGATGCTTTGCCGGTATGGGATAAATTGCTTGATTATTAATATGTACAGGTTTTAATGGATTCTTTTATTACTATCATTTATTTATTATTATGAATTTGTTGCAATCAGCAAGACTATGACATGTAAGCTCAGGTCCTATGTGTGTCTGGAGTTAAAGCATTTTTATCATCAATGTTGTTGTTGTTGTTGAGCCTTCTCGTCCATGAGGGGCATCCACCGATCATCATCGGCGGTTCCTCCAAGGGCATAGACCACCTATGAAAGACCTCCAGGCATCTCTATCCTGGGCCAGTTTCTCCAGGATCTTCCATTCATGGCCAATTTTCTTGATGTCTGTCTCCAATTCTCGGCGCCAAGTGTTTCTTGGACGGCCTCTTTTCCGCTTACCCTGTGGGTTCCATTTCAGGGCTTGCTTTGTTGTGTTAGAAGCAGGTTTTCTTAGTGTATGACCAATCCACCTCCACCGCTTCTGGAGAATCTCTTCCTCAATGGGCTTCTGTTTTGTCCGCTGCCACAGTTCCTGGTTGGTGATTTTGTCTGGCCAGTGAATTCTGAGAATCCTTCTTAGACAGTTGTTGATGAAGGACTGGATTCTGGTCAGGTTTACGGCCGTTGTTCTCCATGTCTCGGCTCCATATAACAGCACAGGTTTTACCATAGCGTTAAAAATCCTTACTTTTAACTTGCTGCCTAAGTTGTTAGAGACCCAAACATTCTTGAGTTGTTGGAAGGCTGCTCTTGCTTTTCCCATCCTTATTTTGACGTCCGCATCTGTACCACCTTGTTTATCTACCATGCTGCCAAGGTAAACAAAACTGTCCACCTCCTCAAGGGCTTCTCCTTCAAGCATAATGGGTGATGTACTGGTGGCATTAACCTTGAGGATTTTACTCTTCCCTTTGTGAATGTTGAGACCCATGCTAGCAGAAGTGGCTGCGACAATGTTTGTTTTCTCCTGCATCTGTTGTTGGGTATGTGCAAGAAGTGCAAGATCATCAGCAAAGTCAAGATCATCCAGTTGATCCCACAAGGTCCATTGGATGCCATTCCTTTTCTGCTGTGTAGATGTTTTCATCACCCAGTCAATGGCTAACAGGAAGAGGAATGGTGACAGCAAGCAACCTTGTCTCACACCAGTCTTCACCTGGAAAGCATCTGTCAACTGCTGGCCATGGATAACTCGGCAGTTTATCCCTTCGTACATGTTTCTGATTATATCAGTAATCTTCTGTGGCACCCCGTAATGCCTTAGCAATCTCCACAGGGTTTGCCTGTCAACACTGTCGAAGGCTTTTTCATAGTCAACAAAGTTGACATAGAGCGGCGAGTTCCACTCTAGTGACTGCTCTAGAATGATGCGCAGTGTCGCTATCTGGTCCGTGCAGGATCTGTTGGTGCGAAAGCCGGCTTGTTCGTCCCGCAACAGAGGGTCTACAGCGTTTTTCATCCTGTTAAGTAGTACACGGTTGAAAACCTTTCCTGGGATGGACAGCAGGGTGATCCCTCTGTAGTTCGAGCAGGAGCTTAAGTCTCCCTTCTTTGGGATCTTGATAAGGTATCCCTCTTTCCAATCGGAAGGAACTTGCTCCTCTTCCCATATCTTCATAAACAGAGGGTGTAGCATTTCCACACTGGTTTCCAGGTCCGCCTTCAGTGCCTCTGCTGGGATGCCATCAGGTCCCGCAGCCTTTCCATTTCTGAGTTGTTTAATGGCCCTGCTAATCTCTTCTTTGGTGGGACTATTACAGTCAATTAGCAGGTCATTATCGGCTGGTTGGATATCTGGTGGATTTCTTGGTTCAGGCCTGTTCAGGAGCTCTTCAAAGTGCTCCTTCCATCTCCCTCTCTGTTGCTCCTCACTTGGTATGGTGTTTCCCATTTTGTCCTTCACTGGTCTCTCTACCTTGCTAAATTTCCCTGACAGCGTCTTAATGGTATCAAACAGTTCCCTCATGTTCCCCTGGTGAGCTGCATCCTCTGCTTCTTTAGCAAGATTATCAACAAATTCCTTCTTGTCTCTCTTGATGCTTTTCTTAACTTCCTTATTTGCATCTGCATACTCCTTCTGGGACTTGTTTTTCTGTGCTCGGGTGCGGCTGTTATTCACTTCTGATTTCTTTCTTTTCCTTTCTTCTATTTTATCATCAATGTGGAATGACATTATTTTCTTATCTGGACATGAGTTCACAATTTTGGGTCTGGTGGTGGAGAAAATTGTGTCTTTGGAGCCATGTCTCAACAATTGATTTAGGATTGTAAATATATCTATATTGAATCTATATAAAAAATGACACGAAGAATAGGTTTGTGGTCTGCATCTGGTCAACTGGAAGAGTATGGAATTTTTTGCTTGTTTAAATTAAAATATTGATGTTTGTAGTCTATATTAAGGTGTGAACTGCTGAGAAAGGGAAATGTTTGGCAAATAGAGAAATGTTTGTTAGAAAGAGAAATGTTTGCCAAAGTCATTTTTATTAATTGAATTTTTTTGAACCGAAATGAATATGAAATGTTTATTGATTTCTTTCCACATAAATTCAATGAGTTGAATTTTATTGAAACTAATTTGTTAGTTGGGACAAATGGACACTGTTAATAATTGTTCAGTTAGGTTGTGACAAATCCGTTTATGTTTCACTAATGCGATCTATGATCAGAATTTATTTAAAATTTATACTTAATTTCTTTTTTGTATTTTACTATGACTTTTTACAACCCAACTTTCTTATACACAATACCCTTTTATTTCAGCCATTACATAAGATATGCCTTATATTTCTTTCTCTAGTATTACTGTATTAAGAGAAATCAGGCAGCATATTATCCTACTGAGTTAATTTGTAATGAAGCTTAACTTCATTTGCTATGGCTTGTCTACACATCATACACTGATTATAAACACAGGAATAATGGTTAAATTTGATTTAAGAAAATTGACATGGGTTTCGGAAGGTTTGTTGGAACGAGACATGAAATTATTGCACTGCCATATTGGAATGAGACATGAAATTATTGCACTGTCATGTTGGAACGAGACATGAAATTATTGCACTGTCATGTTTGAACAAGACATGAAATTATGCACTGTCATGTGGGAAGGAGACATGAAATTATGCACTGTCATGTCGGAACAAGAGATGAAATTAATGCACTGTCATGTCGGAACGAGACAAGAAATTATTGCACTGTCATGGGCTTATAGGTTTTAATTTTTGTTGAATTTTAATTTGAGCACAATAAATGATAAAAAAAATAACAGGTCATATTTTAATTGTGCCTGTAAACAATTTTTGGCTTAAATTGCTTAACACTATTTTTAAAGTGTTCCAAAAAGACTGTTGTTGGGTAAATGGGGTAAAGAGATATTTGTTTGCAAGGGGAGGTCATAATACTTATTGAAATCTAGGATGCTCAGTGAAAATAGCATGAACATGTCTCATACAGTTTCTAACACAGTGCGTGAGGACCAAGTGTGTGTTGGTGGGTCTAACACAGTACGTGATGACCAAGTGTGTTTTGGTGGGTCTAACACAGTAAGTGAGGACCAAGTGTGTGTTGTTTGATCTTACCCTGCATCTGAGGACTAAGTGTGAGCTGGTGGGTCTACTCTAACCCTGCATGTCAGGTCCAAATGTGTGTTGGTGGGGAAATAAAGGGGAGGGATAGTTTGCAGTAACTAAAATAATTAGTGGGATGTTACAGGCGGACAACCATCTCATGAGTGGGATGTTACATGCGGACAACCATCTCATGAGTGGGATGTTAATGTGGACAACCATCTCATGAGTGGGATGTTACAGGCGGACAACCATCTCATGAGTGGGATGTTACATGCGGACAACCATCTCATGAGTGGGATGTTACATGCGGACAACCATCTCATGAGTGGGATGTTACATGCGGACAACCATCTCATGAGTGGGATGTTACATGCGGACAACCATCTCATGAGTGGGATGTTACATGCGGACAACCATCTCATGAGTGGGATGTTACATGCGGACAACCATCTCATGAGTGGGATGTTACATGCGGACAACCATCTCATGAGTGGGATGTTACATGCGGACAACCATCTCATGAGTGGGATGTTACATGCGGACAACCATCTCATGAGTGGGATGTTACATGCGGACAACCATCTCATGAGTGGGATGTTACATGCGGACAACCATCTCATGAGTGGGATGTTACATGCGGACAACCATCTCATGAGTGGGATGTTACATGCGGACAACCATCTCATGAGTGGGATGTTACATGCGGACAACCATCTCATGAGTGGGATGTTACATGCGGACAACCATCTCATGAGTGGGATGTTACATGCGGACAACCATCTCATGAGTGGGATGTTACATGCGGACAACCATCTCATGAGTGGGATGTTACATGCGGACAACCATCTCATGAGTGGGATGTTACATGCGGACAACCATCTCATGAGTGGGATGTTACATGCGGACAACCATCTCATGAGTGGGATGTTACATGCGGACAACCATCTCATGAGTGGGATGTTACATGCGGACAACCATCTCATGAGTGGGATGTTACATGCGGACAACCATCTCATGAGTGGGATGTTACATGCGGACAACCATCTCATGAGTGGGATGTTACATGCGGACAACCATCTCATGAGTGGGATGTTACATGCGGACAACCATCTCATGAGTGGGATGTTACATGCGGACAACCATCTCATGAGTGGGATGTTACATGCGGACAACCATCTCATGAGTGGGATGTTACATGCGGACAACCATCTCATGAGTGGGATGTTACATGCGGACAACCATCTCATGAGTGGGATGTTACATGCGGACAACCATCTCATGAGTGGGATGTTACATGCGGACAACCATCTCATGAGTGGGATGTTACATGCGGACAACCATCTCATGAGTGGGATGTTACATGCGGACAACCATCTCATGAGTGGGATGTTAATGTGGACAACCATCTCATGAGTGTGATGTTAATGTGGACAACCATCTCATGAGCCTTCAAAAGATCTTTTTAAAACTTTTAATCTCTAAATAGATTTATTTTTTCCAAGAGGATAGATCAAGTTTAATTTTTATAAAAATGTTGAAACATTCTATAAATAAAAGTTAGGAAACTTTATTCACGTGTGGCGTCCTTGTATTCTGTGTATCAACTGGTTGAAACTAATTGCTGCTTGTTTGTAGACTGTGTATCAACTGGTTGAAACTAATTGCTGCTTGTTTGTAGACTGTGTATCAACTGGTTGAAACTAATTGCTGCTTGTTTGTAGACTGTGTATCAACTGGTTGAAACTAATTGCTGCTTGGTTGTAGACTGTGTATCAACTGGTTGAAACTAATTGCTGCTTGGTTGTAGACTGTATCAACTGGTTGAAACTAATTGCTGCTTGGTTGTAGACTGTATCA